TAGATATTTTATTTATCGATTGAGGCACTACAAAGTATACCGGGCAATCTATTTCTATATAGTGTTTATAATTTTTTTATGTTTTATACCTTTTTTAAAAAATATTATGCAATTAATAAGATTTTAAATGAATCTAGAAAATCTAAATTAGATTCAACAAAAGATTCATCATCTTGTTTTTACGTGACGTTTCACTGAACCCATCGTACTGACTAATGCTGATTGAATTTACAATTCAAATTTTTAATATCTTCTTCAGTTATCATAGTTCTCTAGATAATTCTTATTCTGTAATTTCCAGACGATCCTTTGTTTCTGAACTGCAGAGTACAGTTATAATTAATCCTTGTAGATCTGAGCGAAAAGATTGCAACTCTTATTTTAATGTTGAATATTCATAATTATTGTTCGACTGTTTTTCTTTTGATCCCGAATGTCTTTTGTATTTAATAGTAATTTTAGCTTGAAAGGTATCCTTGCGTTGTTTGTTTCAGTAAGATTGTATTTATGTTTGCCGTTTATACTTTTCTTAATGTGTTATTATTAAACTTTGTATAGTTAATGTCGACTCTTTGTATTAGGAAAGCGTCAATAATAATATCGATAGTCACAGCCGAGCCATTGTTTTTCAGTCGCCGTAGCCTTTTTTTTTTTCGGGCCGTGGGCCGAACCTCCTTCGAGGTCCCCGCGCATAAGGGGCGCGCGGGGTATGAGAGACTCAACGATCTGCATGGTGTTGTGAGCAGACCGCGGGCCCAAGGATTATAGGGCCCACCCACTAAAAGTTGCCGTAGCCTAAAGGATAAGACGCTGGTCTTCAAGTGATGCGACTGGACTGGTGTTTAAATCCCGCACGAGACATGATACGTATTGTTACGCGCTGGAGTTCGGTATAAATAAAAATTCTACCGAAATACAAATTAATATTCTATTTAACTATATATATATAATAAATATATAATATTTAGTGTGGAGAGTTTTTAGCAAACTGTTATGTGTAAATGTTTTCAAGGTTAATAAATAAATTATTATTATTATTATTATTACTTAGAACACTTACAGAGCACTTTAGAATTCGTAATTACTAAGTACCATATTCTAAGTATGTATACATGTAATTAGCCTTCATTCCCGCAAAGAACCAAAGGGAAACGGGGGTGACTGAAAATCGGTGCTTTTCGATTTATCAACCTTGAACAGCAATAGGTGAGCCACCTCCTTTTGCCTTTTTCTCTTTTTTTCTTTTCTTTTCTTTTATTTGTATTTCATTTTATTTTCTGTGATGTGAAAGGCAATAAATGATTTTTATTATTATTAATTCGCTTCTTCCGCTTCGCTTCAGGTAATCCGTTCGCTGTTTCGCTTCGAGTAGTTCCGATTACTAACTGCCTCCGTGTCATCTCGGCAAGGCTTTTATAGTCGATAAAACATACCTAGAATTATCGAAAACATTCCTGATACGTTGAGAAGTTTCGATATCTGTTTCCGTTATTTGACAATAGATGGCGTTGTACGTCTCGGGCGTTCTCGATTTTATTAGTTCTTTTGATATTCGTTTTTGCTATTAGACGCTAGATGGCGTTGCTCTTATCGGCGACATAGTGTTTACGACAGACTTCAATGATGAAGAAATAGGGTCTTGTAATAAAAAATAAACTGAATATTTCTAAATTTGCGGTATTGATGGTTGGTCGTGTTGTGGATCTACGCGGATAGGTTCCACCGATCTGCTTATTTCTGCCGTCAAGTAATCCAGCTGGTCAGTTCGAAGAGTAGAGCAGATTTTATGCGACACAATCAAGACTCTTACCACAAAAACCTCTCATGGCTTATCAGGTACCGTTAACTATTATCATAAGACTAGCTTTTGCCCGCGACTTTGTCCGCGTGGGACAGTTCACAAATAATGCTTTATTTAAGAACAAATTTGGTTAGCATAAAAACGTTATAGTGAGCCAACCATAACATATAGACATATACTGTCGCGATTTTTTTTTAGATATTTTAAAGGGGAACAATTCTGTCATACATTATTTTAGCGAAACTTTAACCGTTTCTTCAGCGCACGCAGCGGAAGCTCTCAAAAGGAAAAAAACCCCGATTTTGAAACATTCTTTATTGGTGCTCCGCTTGTATTGGTCTTAGCGTATAGCGTTCCTCGAAAATGGGCTATCTAACACTGAAAGAATTTTTCAAATCGGACCAGTAGTTCCTGAGACTAGCGCGTTCAAACAAACAAACTCTTCAGCTTTATATATTAATATATCATAAGATACTCTTATCATACAGAACAATAAAAAATACGTATACTTTGCATTTAATTTAGCTACGTATTAAACATAGTAGCTGTATCGGAATCAGTGGATCTGTGATGGGGAAATGGGTCAGATAAACAAAACAATTAAAGTAAGTTTTTCTGTTTAATCCGTCCACTAATTGCTACGGAGTGACATGGCAGGCTGCTGACTCCGTTTCAATTAATTGTTCCTGTCTATTAGATTGATGGCTCTGTGTTTTAGTTTGTAGTCAGTTTGTAGTTTGTTAGGATTAGACGAAACAAAGAGTATTGAGGACAGTGGGTTGCGTCATCGCCTTATCGTTGCCGCCGCTGACTGCTCCCCGAATCCTGATCACGCAGGAGTCAGTAACCATCGATGCCCTAGAAACGTTCTAACGGATCAATCAAATAACCTTTGCATTAGACGCCTTCAACTCTAACACTAGGAGCAGGCTTAGGGACCCTGGTAACCGTACTCGTCGAACTCGGTAAAGAGTTCGACGTGCAACTTAACCCATGCATCAGCTCACTGAGTTCCTCGCCGGATCTTTTCAGCGGATCGATCGGGTAGTAGATTCATTCGCGAAGCAGCTGCTCTTGAGTTGTTAGGTCTCCTTTAGAGACGCTCGGGCAGCTGTTATCAAATCCCACCCCTCCTGACTGAGCTTTGGCTCGCCCATGTGTCCTGGTGAAACTTTAAAGGCCTACAGGCCACCAGTAATTCTTCAATCATAAAAAAAGAACAGTGGGCATGATAGCACTGAACGTTAGGAATAAAATTATGACTTCTAGCTTCTTCTATTGCTCTAATGAATTTCTGTTTGTATTTCTGAGGGTTGGATCAAACTAAAATCTGAACATCGGGGCCCTTGTGAGCTTACAGCTTCCCGTCAAATAGGATATCAGCTCATCTGTCATTTACTCAACTGTTATATTTATTGTTCGGAAATTGTATACATGCAAGCTTATCTTGAAAAATCAAATTTATTTTAAGATAGTTACTGCTACAAGCTTGAATAGATTTTCAACAATATAGGTCTCTAGCTTATGATGTTTAGATCTCTGATCAACAAAGGGGACTATTGTAAATGTGTTTTTGCAAATAAATTTCCAAAACTGGCTTAGATTCATTTCGCTACAATCTAAGATCGGATACAACGATGAAATTTAAAATCAGTTTCAATTAAATTATATCTTGTTTATTACAAGGCAGGCAGAAAAGGACTTTTTTATCATTAATTTTGTTGTAATTTTGTATTATCTAAGCCATCCTTCGATAAAGGCAATTTTATAATGCTTGGCATTTTCCAAATGGTTAGCGAAATGTCGAACGGTTTTTGTGGGCGAAAAGTTTCTGGTATAATACCATCAGCGAGGATACTTACTGTTCCGAGCTGGAGCTCTTCACCGAAATATTAATAATACTGAATACTAAGTATACCTGCCTATTTCTGCCGTGAAGCAGTCATGCGTTTCGATTTGAAGAGTGGGACAGTCGTTGCAACAATACTGACACCTTAGAACTCACATCTCAAGGTGGATGGATGGCATTTACGTTGTAGATGTCTATGGGCTCCGGTAACCACTTAACACCAGGTGGACTGTGAGCTCGTCCACCCATATAAGCAACAACAAAAAAATATTTAAGTAAACAAAAATAAAACAATAGCTTAAGTTAATGAATTTGGCATAACTCTAGTGGTCTCCTAGTTTTAATTGGATCGCGTAAGCTGAAGTAGCTGAGTGATGTATTGTTCGATTCCTATTCACTATAAAAAGTCTGCGCTTATGATACGGTACGAACATTTTAATTGCCTTACTTTGTTCTCGAAAAGATTCTGGAATGCTCGCTAAAAACATCTCTACATCAGCTCTACTTTCCGATGCATCATTTTAGAAATGTGATAGTGAATATTTACAAAAGTTTGTTGAGTAATGGGCAGATTTACCCAAGTATTGAATACGGTACGTTGATGCGAATTCGATTGAATAGATCTGTTCGAGACGTAAATCTGCAGTACTGCAAAAATGTAGCGACAGAATCCTGACTTTATCTTTGGGATTTAAGAGAAACATTTCACACTCAACGCTGTTTCACTCCCATAAAAGCGGCGGTGATAACGTATCTTCAAAAATCCCCTTATCTTAGCATTTTACGGTAAGCAGCGGTTTGGCTCTGACAATGCTGAAGTCTATGGGCGATGGTAAGGTACGTAAGGTACGACGTACAAGGGCAATAAAAATAAAATAAAAATCTTAGTATTTTTTTATTTCTTAGTTGGGAGGACGAGCTCACGGCCCAACTGGTGTTAAGTGGTTACTGGAGCCCATAGACGTCTTTTTTTTTATAGCTTAGATGGGTGGACGATCTCATAGCCCACCTGGTATTAAGTGGTTACTGGAACCCATAGACATCTACAACAATAAAAAAAAGATATGCGTTCTAAGGTCTCAGTATAGTTACAACGGCTGCCCCACCCTTCAAACCGAAACGCATTACTGGTTCACGCCAGAAATAGGCGCGATGGTGGTACCTACCCGCGCGTACTCACAAGAGGTCCTACCACCAGTAAAACGTAAATGCGCCACCTACCTTGAGATATAAGTTCTAAGGTCTCAAGTATAGTTGCCCCGGTTACCCCGCCCTTCAAACCTAGTATCTAAAGTAACCTTCACCCTAGTATCCTAAAGGATGTTCTAATCTTAACATTTTCGTTCCCAGGATTTCGATAGCCCACCAGCCAAACGCGACTTCAGCTGAGCTGGTGATAAATGACGTGAAGGCTGAAGACGAGGGGGTCTATCGATGCGAGATCACGTACCTGCAAGTAGGCGAGGACTGTAACACAGTGCAGGTTACCGACTTCCACACTTACAGTAAGTACATCCTAGTTATTATATGTATTAGACTTTGTTGTGATCCCGGTGTTGGTATTAGAATTCTATGTTGATATCTGTCGATGCACGGACATCGATGATCGCGCGGTGCGGGGTCGCGGCTTTACACCTTCTTCGACGCTTCGTACAGCAACGCCACCCGCGACACTTTCTTGTTACTCTTTTTATAAATACACCAATTAATATTACACCAATTGTCTAAGTACAGACCACTCTTTTATTATGTAACACCCCAGTCTACCCCAGAGCAGTCAAAAACATGGTCCTTCGAGCAGGATATGAACCAGCGACCTATCTGAAAGTTGAGGATGTGATTGCGTGTTCAATTAAAACTCGTCGAACCCAAACTGCGGCATATATTTATTTATCGAAGTACTCTAATGGTCCACATTTTGTGTTGTCATATTGTACCACAGTCAATTGGAGAGAGTTGATTTTTAAGGGCCTTAAGTTTTTTTATTGCTTATATGGGTGGACGAACTCACAGCCCACCTGGTGTTAAGTGGTTACTGGAGCCCATGGACATCTACAACGTAAGTGTGCCACTCACCTTGAGATATAAGTCGTAAGGTCTCAGTATACAGTTACAACGGCTGCCCCACCCTTCAAACCGAAACGCATTACTGCTTCACGGCAGAAATAGGCAGGGCGGTGGTATATGTACCTACCCGCGCGGACTCACAAGAGGTCCTACCACCAGTAATTACGCAAATTATAATTTTGCGGGTTTGATTTTTATTACACGATGTTATTCCTTCACCGTGGAAGTCAATCGTGAACATTTGTTGAGTACGTATTTCATTAGAAAAATTGGTACCCGCCTGGGATTCGAACACCGGTGCATCGCTCAACACGAATACACCAGACGTGTTATCCATTAGGCCACGACGACTTCAAAGTCACCTTGTCTCTCACAATCCAGCCTGTAGAAAGGGAAGGAAGACGTACTGGCGCCGTAACGCGTTACCTAACGAAGCGGTTTACCCTCCCATAAGAAGTTATCACAATATGAATTATCCATATAAAAAATAATGCACAAATTTTTTGAAGCATGAATGTACATCACCGGAGTAGAGTTCATCCATACTACCTGGAGCCACTGCGTTAATCCACAGTGCGTTTTCAGAGATCTTTATTGCCACGTACCATCCGGCTATGGAATGAGCTCCCCTCCACGGTGTTTCCCGAGCGCAATTTTTTTTTTTATTTTTTTATTGCCCTTGTAGGCAGACGAGCATACGGCCCACCTGATGGTGACTGGTTACCGTCGCCCATGGACTTCAGCAATGCCAGGGGCAGAGCCAAGCCGCTGCCTACCGCTAAAACTATGACATGTCCTTCTTCAAACGAGGCTTGTGGAGAATACTAAGCGGTAGGCAGCAGCTTGGCTCTGCCTCCTGGCGTTGCTGACTTCCATGAATGATGGTAACCACTTACCATCGGATGGTCTGTATGCTAGTCTGCCTGCTCGAGCAATAAAAAAAATTATTGTAAATATCAAACTTAAAAGGTGACAAGTTTGCAAAACAACAACATAATATCATATAAAACAAAACATTTAGCAAACACGAAAATATCCAAGATCCTGCAATAAATATATTGTTTCCATACAATTTGCTCACAATATTTCAAGTTGCAGTGCGCCCAAGGGGTGTGGTTTTTATTTATTTCTCGGTTTGCACCGTTGGCTGCGGTCCAGACTAAGATTCACCAACAATCTTTCTTATGGAATTGACTGCGTGTTGATCGATATTCTTTATAGCAGAGACTAAGTGTGCGTAAATCTGATCAGTGAATGATACGAATCAATTCAGAAATAGGATTCTTATAAAAATAACCTCATGCTAGGTTAAGTGTCAATTATCTATATATTAATAAGTAAAGCAAAATCTTTGTATCCATTTTTACGAAAATTGCGCGGACGGAGGAGTATGAAATTTTCCACACTTATAGAGAATATAGAGAAGAAATGCAGAATGCTAAATTTTTTTTAAATAATGCATAAAAGATACATTAAATCAATAAAGAAAATATTACACACACTACATACCATGTATTTGACACACGCACGCATGCATACTATTTGTTTATTGTCAAACTTTCTATTATAGTTTGTAGTCAAATTGACAGTAGATTAATATTGTTTGTCTTTATTAATATTTGTCTAAAGTGTAGTCTTGGTTAAATCTCGAAGTATAATAGTCTTTGACAATAGAGTTATAATAATGTACAAACTTACAATTCCAATTAATTATAGTCGAATTTCGACTACCAAGGGACCACTAGTATACTTGAATTATATATTGCACGATAGGTTCACCTTTTCACACACAACCAATCTCATATCAACACTTGCTTTAAGGATATTGGGTAAAGCACCAATAGCTTTCAAACGCGTTTTACTTCAAAAATTCACTTGACGATTTTAATTCCGCATTCATGTTGGTATATCTCTGACCTCTGATAATCACTATTTCCCGATGGGCCGTCTACGCAATAAATTAAAATTACCCTAAGATATAATAATTATTTTTTACTGATTGTAGGACCTCTTGTGAGTCCGCACGGGTACCACCACCCTGCCTTTTTCTGCCGTAAAGCAGTAACACGTTTCGGTTTGAAGGGTGGGGCACTTAGAACTTATATCTCAAAGTGGGTGATGCATTTACGTTGTAGATGTCTATGGGCTCCAGTAACCACTTAACATCAGGTGGGCTGTGATCTCGTCCATCCATCTAAGCAAATAAACTAGTTTATAATAAATTAGTCTAGTGATGTCCAGCGGTGAATCCAGCAAAGGTCACTTTAAAGGTGTAATGGTAAATGCATAGTATATGGATACATTCTAAACAGTACTAATTATACAGGGTGCTTTTTTTAAACTTTAATTAAAGGTAATAGTTTCATCATTGCCAATAGTTTTTGGGCTTACTTTATTCTTGCCCGGAGACCATAGATAGCTTGAATACCACTAGTCTTCATTTGATTCTGCACACAACAAAGTTAGTTAATAAACTATGTAAGGTATTTCCTAATACAGTCGATATAGTGAGTTTCACAAAACTGCTTATATGTTCAAGCTCTATAAATACAAATAGTAGAGACTCCCGCTCTACGGTAGAGTCAATCAAGCAAAAGGAAACGTATGTCTTATATCGTTATCGATATGAACACAGCGGACAATCACTCTGTAATATAACGCAGGGATGCGTATTACGGGGATAGATTATATCGATATTTTATAGAACTTAACTTATCGGATAAGCAAGCAGTGTATCGTCTGTCTTACCATAAAACATGGCGTGTTGAGAATTATGTCTCTTACTTACTCTTACTTATTCACACTCTCTTGTGTAAAGTCATTGCTGATATCGCTCTAATAAAATCGTAACTGTGTTAGTCTTGATGTGGTGTCTTCATTAAAGGCTTAACAGAAATAGGTAAGTCTTGGACCGCTATCCGTCCAAGACATACTTGCACACAATCACTATACTTAATGTCGTAAGGTGACCAGGATTAACACGGATTTGCTTGAATACTTATTTTTAAGTTCGCTATCCTTCTCTTGCCATTTGCTACCCTAATATACCAACCTTGATATAAAAGGTCAGTCTACATAATGACTGTCTCGCTTTTCTGCCTGGAAATTCATACGTTCCAGGCAGAAGAGCTGCAGAAATAGGCAGAAAACCCACCCAAGTAAAAGCTTATGACGTCAATTCATCTTAGTAGCTTAGCTTAGCTTAACATGTAAATAGTTATGGTATCCATTTTCTTGCTTGGACTAAATCAGTCATATCTCATACTTACCGTAGTTTTATATGACTGAGAGTTTACTGGTGGACTGAGAGGTTACTAAGGCCTTTCCAGTTTCACCAGGACAGGGGGGTAAAGGCTCAGCCAAGAGGGGTGGGATTTGCTAACAGCTGCCCGAGCGCTTTTGAAGGAGACCTAACAACTTAAGAGCAACTGCTTCGCGTACGAATCTACTACCGGATCGGAATCGCGACCCGCTGAGAAGAGCCGACGAGAAACTCAGCGAGCTGATTTATGGGCGCTTACGGTAGTATATGCACGGGATCTCTACGGAATCCAGTAATATCAGAATGCGAAAAATATATAAAAGTTATCGATAGTTGATGGTGTCGTCTCTACTGTCACCCAAGGCGCGACCAGCCGTTCTTTCCCACCGGGATATTAAGCAGGAACCGCCGCGGGCGTGCTATTCGAAATGTGACAATTTTCATCCCTTTCTCACTAATGCACTGCGAGATAAAGCACTTTATTTATTGGCTACGACGGACTGAAGTGCTGGAGGTAAAGTAATCCAGTGTGAATCTCAACTCACGGCCTCGATAATAATATATTTGATCGCTGTGGAGGCTATTGATATTTTTAGCTGTACAACTAGTTACAATCTCGTGGACGAAGCCTCATGCGCTGGACTGATCAGGTGAAAAACCTAAAACCCCACTTAACGAGTGCGTGCGCCTAATTCGAAAACTATGGAGAGCATCTGTCAGGGCTTTAATAAACACGAATTCCACATGACCACGACTGTTCTGCCAAGAGCTGCTGATTATGATGTGTCATCTAGTTTACTTTGTTTATCGGTGGTAGGTCTTATGAGCACGAGTAGGTACCACCGCCTTGCCCATTTCTGTCGTGAATCAGTAATACTTTTCAGATTCAATGGTGGGGCAGTCGTAGTACTATAAAATTGAGACTGAGAACTCGTATGTCACAGTAAGTGGCGATATTTGCTAATTTGATATCTATGGGCTCTGGTAAGCACTTCACACTAGGTGAGCCGTGAACTCGTCCACCGATATAAGCAATAGATAAATATATTGGTGTCTCTGGAAACGAAGTGCGTATGGGCGCAATGTTCCGGTCTAGTGGATATAAACTAATGACTGAAGGTGCGATCGTGAAATGGACATGATGAGATTCAAACAATCATTCAGAGAACTCCCCAT